GACTCTGTAATGGGTTGTACTATAAAGACTCGTAATGTTGTTACTATAAGTAATTCTATAAAGGTCTTAATGTTGTACTATAAAGACTCTGTAATGTTGTTACTATAAAGGCTCTGTAATGTGTTCTATAAAGACTCGTAATGTTGTTACTATAAAGACTCGTAATGTTGTTACTATAAAGACTCTGTAATGTTGTTACTATAAAGACTCTGTAATGTTGTTACTATAAAGACTCTGTAAGTTGTTACTATAAGGGCTCTGTAATGTTGTTACTATAAAGACTCTGTAATGTTGTTACTATAAAGACTCTGTAATGTGTTTACTATAAAGGCTCTGTAATGTTGTTACTAAAAAGACTCTGTAATGTGTTACTATAAAGACTCTGTAATGTTGTTACTATACAGGGCTCTGTAATGTTGTTACTATAAAGACTCTGTAATGTTGTTACTATAAAGACTCTGTAATGTTGTTACTATAAAGACTCTGTAATGTTGTTACTATAAAGACTCTGTAATGTTGTTACTATAAAGACTCTGTAATGTTGTTACTATAAAGACTATGTAATGTTGTTACTATAAAGACTCTGTGGTGCTCCTATATTATAAAGGCTGACGTATAGAGACACTGCAACCTTGGGATGTCTCTCTCTCTATGCAGTAAACCTATACACTACAGGTAGATCCTGCAGCCACATTACAGTTTACAGCTTTGGTCAAACACACACATGCGCAAGCACACACGCACACGCACACACACACACACCACTACTAATGTATGGTACGAATATGGCTGCAATTTCCTTGGTAATACCCCACTCCATGCTTACATATGCTGATGTGAGCTAGGATAAAGGGAGAGAGAGGGGGGGAGAGATTACAAGTCAAGCATCTTATCACACTCTCACTGACTCGTCTCCCCTGACTTACTAACACTCAATCTGCCCTATAGGTTTTTTCTCTCCATATTGCTAGTAATAATAGACCTACCTATCCAATCCTTTGTACATGTAATGGATCTGGTTACCTAGGGGTAGGAGCAACGGGTTCAAGTGGAATTGGTCAGAAAACCTTCCTCGAATCACTGCTCTGTGATCAGTCAGTTCTCTTCACTAGAAAATTAATAGGCTGACCCTAGGACTGTTCCATAGACCTTCAGGCATCAGCAGGATTGGACATAGTGTTCAGGTAGAAATACCTTCTATAGAACACACATGATCATTCTCTGTCATGTAAACATAATTGTACCAGTTCTACAGCATACATCTCTGTCTACATCATTGATCCCCAAAAAGCCGCTCCATAGGCCTACATTTACCTCATATCACACCCATTGCCTATTATAAAGCCGCTATGATTTTACATCCCGCTTTACATCCGCACTGTACCCACGCTGGGTGTGGCCACTGCACGGATACATCATGACGTTACGTCGCGGATGCAGTGTGCTCTCTCCCCTCTCATTGCATAAACAAAGGCAACGATGTGTAGGTGACATGTTATCACAAAAACCCAGTTGGCAACATAAATACAACGTCTCTTAGATTACCTTAACCGTTATTCTGCCCTGCAATGCCACGTTGTATGTTGTTAGTAAACAACGATGCTTCATTAGGGAGTATAAAAACGCTTACTCACGCACAATCAGGACTCAAGAAATCCAGTCGATAATAGCCGATTTCCCCTCGTATCTCAAGACCAACCGGGTGGGAACTATTGTAGCAAATGTGGAATGTAGGATTTATTGTGCTATGTGCTGCAAGGGCACGCGGTAAAATCCCCGGTAGGGTATCGAGAAGAAGCGTAAAACGGTACGTCAAACACTGGAACTTTCCCTACCGGAAAAACGGCCGTTATGTCAGTTGATCAAGATGATGGATATGTCTGTCTAGTCAAGGTCATCTTAGATGTACTAGTTTCTTCTATTTCTGTCCGCTTTCCCACGTCAATAGCCATCTCTCTCTTTCTCTCACTCTCTCTCTCTCGCTCTCCGTCCAGCTTTTACCGAAAAACACCGACCGCACTGTACCGACCGTGACGTCACGAACGTCCACAGCTGCTGCAGGATTGTATTATAAAATGAGCGTGGATGTTTAATATGATTTTGGAATAGCCCATTTCTCAGCATTCTGACATTCTGTTTGCAATGAGTGAATGTTGAGGAAAAATAGACAAATGCCTAAAGGATTGTAGATAGCCCAACCATACTTCATGAAAATCTAAATCCTCATTTTGGCAGTCACAAATAGGCCGAACTGATTTTCAACCCACTGACAGGCACATGACGTGCCCACTGGTACACTCGTATGACTGACTAAGCTGTGTGTGTGTGTGTGTTTTATTTAATGTAACCCTTATTTTACCAGTTAAATTGACTGAGAACACATTCTCATTTACAGCAACAAACTGGGGAATAGTTACAAGGGAGAGGAAGGGGGATGAATGAGCCAATTGGAAGCTGGGGATGATTAGGTGGCCATGATGTTATGAGGACCAGATTGGGAGGACACCGGGGTTACAGAGGAAAGCCAGTAGTGGGATGCAGGGTGGTATGCTGCTGCTGATGTGTGTGTGTGTGTGTGTGTGTGTGTGTGTGTGTGTGTGATGAACTGTGTGAGTTGGGGACACAGAGGCCCCATTGTCTCTAGGGAAAAATTAACAGCTCTTGGCTGAGTTTCAATCCAGAGCGTTGCTCCCTGCCCTCTGCCCTCGTTCCCTGTCCTTCACAACAGCTGAGATGACAGTGTGTCCCAATAGTCGGAAGTGGTTTACTTTCTCCATCTCTCCTTCATCTGAACTCAATTTAACATTTTATGAAGGACGGTACTCTTTGGAAGGCAGTGTCCCCATCACTGGTCAGGGGCCTTGGGGTCTCCACTTCCAGCAGCACCTGGTCTCCCAGTCGTATCCAAGGATCGACTAGGACCACCCTGCTTAGCTTCATAGGCAACCCTGCAGTGGGATGCAGGCCAGGGTAGTATACATGGCTACTATGTTGATGACTCTATCTTGACCTCTGATTGGCTAGGTGGTTTCCACCATATTGTTAGCATCCATTCAGTTTTGGGATTGTTTTGGGTTTTGGCTTATGTGGGTCTTTTTTGGACTACATCAAGGGTCAGGCCTCCGTCCTGAGTGAACGGAGGGTCCTGCAGTACCACATGTGAACACAAGGCGTCAGTACAGCGCCACTGTTGAGGCTTTCACAGAGGAGATGTTGCCCTGACTGTGACACCAATGTCCATCATGAGTGCAGTGTGGGGACTTTGTCACCAGAGTAAAAGGTCCGATGGTTCTGATGTAAAGTAGCATAAACAAAGAAGCTAATAATAACAGCGATTCAGCACCACTGAAGCGGAAAGAGGCAGAATCAGAATTACGATGTTCAACGCCACTAAATTCTGCACCACCAAACAGTGGACAGGGATGGTCACAGGTGCAGCATCTAGGGCTGCGTTTAGACAGGCAACCCAATTCCGATATTTTTCTCAATAATTTATATTTTGACCAAATACATCTGATCTTTTCACATCAGATCTTTTTCAGAGATCTGATCGTTCAAAAGACCAATTAGTGGAAAAACAATATCAGAATTGGGCTGCCTGTCTAAACGCAGCCTAGTAGGCCTATACTCTCGATTCTCGTTGAAGTTAAAATGTTTTTGAAATCGATACTTTTACCTCATCCTAAATTCAAGTTTATTGTTAGCATATTTATTACCTAACAAATAGTAAATTAAGTGACATCTATGGACACTAAAGAAGACAGACTACATCCAAACACAAACAAACCACTCGGATGATGATAAATGAATCATGCTCCAGCGGTTATTATTCATAGACTACCTATTTATACGATCAATAATTGCCATCCCAGACTACCCCAATAATATCACAACGCTCGCTCCCGATTAAAGTGCGCGTTCATGTCTCTCCGCGCTCTGCTATTGGTCCGCTCGCGCGGTTTCCCCTGGTTCCCCGGTTTTGTAGCTACAGCCCCCCTTCATCACACAAAAACACGGTATTTATAACATCCACCCTCGGGGACACGCATCGGACACTGGCTTTCACTGGTGCATATTCTTTTGTGGGACAATGTTCTTCGTAACTTGTGCGTTTGGTTAACTGTTTATATGCTTTCCAGTTGACTTATGATTTGAGGTGCATGTTAATACAGAAGATTGTTGTGCAGTTCTGGGTTTCGGAAGGGCTTCTTCAGAGGGACTCTGCCCGAAGCGCGATTCTGAGGATTTATTTTATTTACGATGTTCTGAGAGAAGGCTTTGATTGTAATATAAAACTGTGCATACTTGAATGTGAGACACTATTATGCATAGTTGACCACCATATGCATTGTAAGGAAAAGGAAGATAATCTACTGCAACTGATTTTAGAGAGAGGAGGAGGTGGGGTGGATTGTTAGATAAGAGGGATTCTTTCGAGTGATTTTGTAAGGGGCTCAGCCAGGACATGTGAGAAGAACAAAACCATACCCCTCACTGACGGCTGAGAGCGGACACCGGACACACGCACCTGTCTGTCCACTGTCACACGGTGGCACATGTTGGTTTGTTGTTGTCTGGTTTTCTCTCCAGGAGACAAACACGCACACTGCGATTGCGTGCAGGCAGGCTACTACTATAGACTATAGCCTAGTGATTTACAGCCTTTTGTTGGCTATAGTGATTCGGTTTATTTTTGTCCAGCCTATAGCCTAGTACAATAGGAGACACTTGGACCAAAATATATTCGTTTTTTCTTTTTCATTTATTTATCCAGATCACTTTAATCTCAGATTAAATCTATTTTGCAAAAGAGACTTGGTCAAATAGCAGCAATAGGGCAAATGTCTAATTTAGATTAAAATAATATATTTTTCAAAAGAGCATTGAATTGATTGAAAATGAATTTTGACGAGATTCTAACAGCTGTAGGAGGGTTTGGAAAGTACCAGAAGATTCTGTACGTGTGGATCTGTCTCCCTCAGATCCAACTGGGTTTTCACATGATGGCCAGCATCTTTACCGGGGCTACACCAGGACATCGCTGCCGGGTCAGCCCGAGCTCAGCCCCCGGTAATAACGTTCATAACGGTAGCATGGCCTTGACTTCATCCGTTACTGTTACCGCAAACCTGAACCTCAGCATCCCGGTGGACCCACAGGTGGACGACTCCTGCTTCCTCACGGACATTCTAATAGAGAACGGGACTGCGCGCGCGCATTGCAAGCACGGATGGGTGTACAGCCAGGAGATTTATCAAAGCACTACCGTCACCGAGGTAAATAATGCCTTTCCCTTATAATGTGTTCGGATTAATGGGGTTACTAGGAAAATGTTAGTCTCATCTGTTCACTTCCATACTACCATGGCGCTGTCTCGCCACACTCACTCTCTCTCTCTCTCTCTCTCTCTCTCTCTCTCTCTCTCTCTCTCTCTCTCTCTCTCTCTCTCTCTCTCTCTCTCTCTCTCTCCTACAGTGGGACTTGGTGTGTGACAATGCATGGCTCAACAGTCTGGGGTCTTCTGTCTATATGTTAGGTCTTCTGGTGGGAGCAGTCCTCTTTGGAGCTATGGCAGACAGGTACATAACATAACCCTTGACCCCAGACCTCTGACCTCGGACCCTCTCTACATGTTGGGTTTGCTGGAGGAAACTGTCATCTTTGAAGCTATGGCAGACAGGTACAGATGTAGGATCTTAATTTGAGACATACTACAGCAGGAAAAAATCCTGCAGCAACAGGAAATGTGAATTACTATGTGGATTATAATTAATGGACATTTTTGTAGGGGTTGATACATTTCTTCGTAAGGGAAATTTCAAAGTGGAAATTACAAACTTCAGAATCCTTTTTAAACATCAAATACACTACTAGTGTTTCTGAATTGCAGGAATGTTATCCTGCAACAGGGTGATCAGATTAAGATCCTACATCTGTAGAACCTACAATAAACCTTGACCTCTACCATCATATCCTAAACCAGCCATACTCCCAGAACGGGGTCAATAAGGACCACGGGTCCCGACTTAAAGGAACAGTCAGACTTTCAATTTAATGCTGTTATGAGTTGTAATAGTAGAATGCACAAGGTACAATTTCGAAATTTGGTAATGCATGAGCAGTTTTCCTCTTGTTATGTCATTCACTGATAGACCTTAGAGAGCTATTTATAACCTGTCAGGAATTTACAGTTGATTAACTACCAGCCTATGTTAGCTAGAAAGGATGTTAGCTAGGTAGGTAAGTTAGGCTAACTAACCAGCTATCTAAATCTTGTAGTTACCATGGCCAGATTATGTAAGCCCCATGGCAAAATGTGTAGAATTGTAGGAACTTATCTTCAAAACTGCAAAATGTTTTCTTTGCCAAAAAGAGGGGTGTGAACAATTTGGGGTCGCATGGGTCGCGAGGTGGGGGTTTGGTACTACGCCGATAAATGACAATATCCATCCAGACCTTAGCCATCTAGGAAATTTGTGTGACTGGACCTTCTCAAATAGTATTTGAGTACACCTGCCCTAAACCCTAACCTCTGACCCCTACCTAAAACCTAACCCATTGTCAACAGGTACAACAATGAATTTGTAACTTCGATGTCATACAATTTGATAAATACTTAGTCTCCCTCCCTCCCTCCCTTCGCCCTCTCCCTCTCTCTGTAGGTTTGGTAGGAGGTATGCCCTGCTCCTCTCCCTAGCACTACAGACAGTGTTTGGAGTGGCTGTGGCTTTCGCTCCAAACTTCCCTGTGTATGTCCTACTGCGATTTATAGTGGGGACTACTATCTCTGGAGTCATCATCAATGCCTTCGTACTGGGTACACACACACACGCACACGTATACCCCCCCCCCCAAAAATGTTGACAATCATTTTGTCATTGATATAAGACTGTTATTTACACGAGACTAATTTACATGAGACCATTCTGCCAAACATTCAATCCATTATTAGAATTTAAACAGTACCACAATGACATCACCTACATTCCTTCTTTCCAACCCCAGAACACACATTATTCCTAACCCCTAACCCCTAGCTCCATTCTCAGAAACCTAAACCCCTTAGTTCCACACCACCCGATCCACTCAAACCTTAATCCCCCTTCCCCTAATCCTAACCCGTATTATACCTCTCCTTCCTCTCTCCTCTGCCTTCCTCCCACCCTCTCCTCCCCCTCTCCTTCCTCTCTCCTCTGCCTTCCTCCCACCCTCTCCTCCCCCTCTCCTTCCTCTCTCCTCTGCCTTCCTCCCACCCTCTCCTCCCCCTCTCCTTCCATCCCTCCTCTCCACAGGTACGGAGTGGACGTGTACCCAGCGTCGTATGTTAGCTGGTGTCTTCACTGACTACTTCTTTGGCCTGGGCTACATACTAATAGCTGGACTAGCCTACCTCATACGAGACTGGAGGAAACTACAGCTGGCTATATCTGTTCCTGGCTTTCTGTTCATCTTCTATATATGGTGAGGACACACACACACACTTATGCTTGGCCGGTTGCTCTTCACTATTCATGTCTCTTTCTCTCTCCCAGAAGAAAAAAGTAATGTCTGCAACTCTGGTATTCTCCCATGGTGACGTTTCGATCCGAATTGGATCTTCGTCAGGTCATCATACACCACTGAAACACACCTACCTAAATAACCTTTAGATGAATGAACATCCGGTCACTTGAATACATATAATACATTAACCTCACAATAAATATTACACAGTAGACATTATGGAAAAACAGAAATACATTTTGTTTTTTATCCAGTAGGCTAAAATAGGTGTGCAATAGATAAAAAAATGGGTGAGACAAACGCGTCAATCATTTTGTATACAATACAATATGATATGATATATTATATACTCATTCTCTCTCCCCTCAGGGTGCTTCCTCAGTCAGCTAGGTGGTTGCTAGCCAATGACAGGAGAGAGGAGGCCATTGTTCTACTACGCAAAGCTGCTACAGTCAACGGACGTGTATTTCCACCTACTGTACAGGTACCACACAGACACGTCTTGTGTTTTTCACAGTGTTTGAGCATGCAAATAAAGTATTTTATGTGTGTGTATGTTTAGGTGGACAGGTGTGATATGGAAGGTAGAAGGAGTCACTCAGCTGCAGATCTCCTTAGAACACCCCAGATGAGGAAAAGAGCTCTCATCCTTTTCTATGTCTGGTAACTAAGAAGTGTGGGTGTGTGTGTGTGTGGATGTGTTTAACTATACCTGTAGTAAACTAACAAAAATTTGACCAACTGGGGACATTTTGTTAGTCCCCACAAGGTAAAATGCTATTTCTAGGGAGTTTAGGGTTGAGGTTAGAATTAGTGTTAGGGTTAGAATTAGGTTTAGGGTTAGAAGCTAGGGTTAGTTTTAGGGTTAGGGTTAAGAGCTAGGGTTGGGTTTTTGGGTTAGGGTATAGGTTAAGGTTAGGGAAAATAGGATTTTGAATGGGACTGAATTGTGTGTCCCCAGAAGGTTAGTTATCCAAGACTGTGTGTATGTGTGTATCAGTGTCTAACCCTGCTCTCTCTCTCTCTAGGTTTGTGAATGTATTGGTGTATTATGGCCTGTCGCTAGGTGTAGCTAAACTGGGCTCAGACCTCTACCTGACTCAGTTCATCTTTGGATTGGTGGAGATCCCTGCCAGGTCATTGGTCCTCCTGTTCCTCCCCTGGAGCAGACGCCTATCCCAGAGTGGCTTTCTGGCCCTGGGGGGCGTGGCCTGTCTGCTCACTCTAACTGTACCTACAGGTGTGTGTGTGTGTGGGGGGGGAGGGGGGGTGTTTGTAACATATTGGGTGAATTCTGTCCACAAAACAGCTGTTAGTCTGTCCACAAAACATCACGGCAGGTAGCCTAGCGGAAAAGAGCGTTGTGCTAAATGACAAAAACATGTACAAAATATTCTCTCTCTATCCCTCTCTCTCAGACCATCCCAACCTGTTAACAGGTCTAGCCATGGTAGGAAAGTTTGGTATCACTGCTTCCTTCGCTGTTATCTATGTCTACACTGCTGAGATCTTCCCTACTGTACTACGGTAAGAAGTGTGTGTGCGTGCGCATTCATTTGTGTGATTGCTAACTTCAATTACCAGTGTGTGTGTGTCTACAGGCAGACAGGGATAGGTGTGTCCAGTATGTTTGCTCGTGTAGGGGGTGTGTTAGCCCCCCTTATCAACATGCTCCATACCAGAAGCCCCTCTCTGCCCATGCTCATCTTTGGCTCCGCCCCCCTGCTTGGCGCAGTTCTGGCCCTGGCACTGCCAGAGACTGCTAACAGACCGCTACCGGATACCGTGGAAGACGCAGAGAACTGGGATACTAGGTACTATGTCTACTGACAGACAGACAGACAGACAGACAGACAGACAGACAGACAGACAGACAGACAGACAGACAGACAGACAGACAGACAGACAGACAGACAGACAGACAGACAGACAGACAGACAGACAGACAGACAGACACAAACACACACCAGGTTTGGGGTCAATTCCAGTCAATTCAGGAAGCACAATGAAATTCCAACTCCAATTCCAATTCTCGTCCAATGCTTTTCAATTAGGAAAATGTGGAATTGGAATTTGGTTAACATTTACATTTACATTTTAGTCATTTAGCAGACGCTCTTATCCAGAGCGACTTACAGTTAGTGAGTGCATACATTATTCTTTTTCATACCCCCCGTGGGAATCGAACCCACAACCCTGGCGTTGCAAACGCCATGCTCTACCAACTGAGCTACATCCCTGCCGGCCATTCCCTCCCCTACCCTGGACGACGCTGGGCCAACTGTGCGCCGCCCCATGGGTCTCCCGGTCACGGCCGGCTACGACAGAGCCTGGATGTTAACATTCTGAATTGACTGATACACATACTGATACACATACTCTACATACACACATCAACACACAATCAAGTCCACAAACTAACCCCTATTTCCAACCATAACCTGTGTGTTTGTTGACTGTGTTTTTGTTTTAAACGTTTGTTTTCTACTTCAGGTTTCCTCCAAAGAAGGACCAAGGAGAGGACATTTGCCAATCAGCAAGCAGCACAGAGGGGCAGGAACTACAGCGCCTAGCAACGGAGTCCTGACCACACACACACATCCCAGCAACCCTCACACAAACACACAGAGTAGAATCTACATGATGCAACCTCTCAATCATTACAAGATTCAGAACCACATACCATACAGAAGATCTGTATAGAAGCACTATGCAATACAAGTAACAGACCAACATGTGCACACACACACTCATATGCACACGCACACACACAAGCAATAAGGGGGTCATTCATAAATCCTACGGTAAATGAATCGCCCATGTTTTCCTATACAGAAAGAACACTTTTTTTAGCGCTCTTCATTCAAACTTGTAGCATTGGTTTTGGTTTTCAGAAATTAGATACAATTGCTGGGGTGGTAATAACGAATGAATAACCCCAAAACACACACAAACGTGCCAGGTGTGTGAGCCAATCAGAACTGCTCTGAGTTCTTCAGCATGGAGACTCGTTGCTGATTGGACAGCTTGTTGCAGACAGCTTTTCATTGGCGGGGACAGGCCACTAAAGCAGGACAGAATCGGCACATACTCTTCCTCTTTGCACCAAAACTGACAGAAAAAATGACAGTTTTTCAACAACGTTTTAGGTAGTTTGGTGTAACATGCTCATGTGATGAGTAACCTTGTCTGAGACCTGAAGATTTGCATTAACCCCCTGAGCAAATGTCTAGGCTTTAGTTCTGTAGGCTATACGCTTTATTGCGCACTGATGACCTGTCAACCTTCTCCTTTCTAAAACAATAAACATTTTTATTTTATTGAGAACCAATTAACTATTATCATGGTACTGTATGTCTATGTCATTACATATCTAAATCGTATGTGGTATATCTATGCCGTTTTGGTACTTACTATCTTACTGCCTTTTCTATCTTATCTTTTTCCAGATAACTATTACTCGAGAATACTAGCTTGAGAATACATCAGAATAAAGCTTCTGAATGTGAACGCATGCACTATGTAGCTTATTACAATACCCGAGTCTCATATGTAGCGCTAACTTAGCATTATGTAGCTCTTATAAAGTCCCTATGCAGGTATAATTCAGAGGTTTGCAAGTGTTTTGGTTGATTGTAGTAATATGTGTTGTTGAAATGTAGTACATCTGTCACTGCTGTATCTTGTTTGTTTGCTGTTTTATTGAGTTAATATGATGTGAATTTTTGTTCCGAGGGCACCATTGAGAATGAGACTCTGGTCTCAAATGGGCCCCCCTAAATAAACGTAAAAGTTATATATAAACATTTTTTATGGGGCATCTGACCCAACGCTGCATGGTTGGGGTTTGGTAGGATATGTTAGGATTGATTGGCAAATGTTAGATTTGATCCATAGCCATATACACTACATTTCCAAAAGGATGTGGACACCTGCTTGTCGAACATATCATTCCAAAATCATGGGCATTAATATGGATTTGGTCCCCCCATTGCTGTTATTTCAGCCTCCACTCTTCTGGGAAAACTTTCCAGTAGATGTTGGAACATTGCTGCGGGTACTTGACCCCATTCAGCCACAAGAGCACTAGTGAGGTCCGGCACTGATGTTGGGCGATTAGGCCTGTCTCGCAGTCGGCGTTCAAAATCATCCCAAAGGTGTTCGATGGGGTTGAGGTCAGGGCTCTGTGCAGGCCAGTCAAGTTCTTCCACACCGATCTCGGCATCCATTTCTGTATGGATCTCGCTTTGTGCACAGGGGGCATTATCATGCTGAAACAGGAAAGGGCCTTCCCCAAACTGTTGCCACAAAGTTGGAAGTGCAGAATCGTCTAAAATGTCATTGTATGCTGTAGCGTTAACATTTCCATTCACTGGAACTAAGGGGCCTAGCCCGAAACATGAAAAACAGCCCCAGACCATTATTCCTCCTCCGCCAAACTATACAGTTGGCACTATGCAGTTGGGCAGGTAACGTTTTCCTGGCATCAGCCAAACCCAGATTCGTCCATCGGACTGCCAGATGGTGAAACGTGATTCATCACTCCAGAGAACGCGTTTCCACTGCTCCAGAGTCCAATGGCAGCTAGCTTTACACCACTCCAGCCGACGCTTGGCATTGCACATGGTGATCTTAGGCTTGTGTGCGGCTCCTCGGCCATGGAAACCCATTTCATGAAGCTCCCGACGAACAGTTCTTGTGCTGACGTTGCGCGCAGAGGCACTTAAGAGTTGACCGGGGCAGCTCAAGCAAGGCAGAAATTTGTCAAACTGACTTGTTGGAAAGGTGGCATCCTATAACGGTGCCATGTTTAAAGTCACTGAGCTCTTCAGTAAAGCCATTCTTCTGCTAATGTTTGTCTATGGAGATTGCATGGCTGTGTGCTCGATTTTATACACCTATCAGCAACGGGTGTGGCTGAAATAGCAGAATCCACTAATTTGAAGGGGTGTCCACATACTTTTGTATATATGGCGCTACTGCTAGCAACAACAAGGCTTCCAGATCTGCATTATTTAATTATGTGTCTAGAACGACTGATTGAGTCTGCTAAATGGCATATTATTTATTATTATTGAGTGTGTGTTGGGAAGAGTAAGGTCTTATTTAAGCATGATTTTTTTTTTGGGGGGGGGTAGATCAGCTTTAATATTGCAGATAGATTGTAACTTCCATCAATGTAATTGTCTGCATCACTTCCAATCCCCCATATGTTTTTTAAGTTTTTCTCGAATATATACAGTGGGGAGAACAAGTATTTCATACACTGCCGATTTTGCAGGTTTTCCTACTTACAAAGCATATAGAGGTCTGTAATTTTTATCATAGGTACACTTCAACTGTGAGAGACGGAATCTAAAACAAACATCCAGAAAATCACATTGTATGATTTTTAAGTAATTAATTTGCATTTTATTGCATGACATAAGTATTTGATACATCAGAAAAGCAGAACTTAATATTTGGTACAGAAACCTTTGTTTGCAATTACAGGGATCATACGTTTCCTGTAGGTCTTGACCAGGTTTGCACACACTGCAGCAGGGATTTTGGCCCACTCCTCCATACAGACCTCCAGATCCTTCAGGTTTCGGGGCTGTCGCTGGGCAATACGGACTTTCAGCTCCCTCCAAAGATTTTCTATTGGGTTCAGGTCTGGAGACTGGCTAGGCCACTCCAGGACCTTGAGATGCTTCTTACGGAGCCACTCCTTAGTTGCCCTGGCTGTGTGTTTCGGGTTGTTGTCATGCTGGAAGACTCAGCCACGACCCATCTTCAATGCTCTTACTGAGGGAAGGAGGTTGTTGGCCAAGATCTCGCGATACATGGCCCCATCCATCCTCCCCTCAATACGGTGCAGTCGTCCTGTCCCCTTTGCAGAAAAGCATCCCCAAAGAATGATATTTCCACCTCCATGCTTCACGGTTGGGATGGTGTTCTTGGGGTTGTACTCATCTTTCTTCCTCCAAACACGGCGAGTGGAGTTTAGACCAAAAAGCTCTATTTTTGTCTCATCAGACCACATGACCTTCGCCCATTCCTCCTCTGGATCATCCAGATGGTCATTGGCAAACTTCAGATGGGCCTGGACATGCGCTGGCTTGAGCAGGGGGACCTTGCGTGCGCTGCATGATTTTTATCCATGACGGCGTAGTGTGTTACTAATGGTTTTCTTTGAGACTGTGGTCCCAGCTCTCTTCAGGCCATTGACCAGGTCCTGCCGTGTAGTTCTGGGCTGATCCCTCACCTTCTTCATGATCATTGATGCCCCATGAGGTGAGATCTTGCATGGAGCCCCAGACCGAGGGTGATTGACCGTCATCTTGAACTTCTTCCATTTTCTAATAATTGCGCCAACAGTTGTTGCCTTCTCACCAAGCTGCTTGCCTATTGTCCTGTAGCCCATCCCAGCCTTGTGCAGGTCTACAATTTTATCCCTGATGTCCTTACACAGCTCTCTGGTCTTGGCCATTGTGGAGAGGTTGGAGTCTGTTTGATTGAGTGTGTGGACAGGTGTCTTTTATACAGGTAACGAGTTCAAACAGGTGCAGTTAATACAGGTAATGAGTGGAGAACAGGAGGGCTCCTTAAAGAAAAACTAACAGGTCTGTGAGAGCCGGAATTCTTACTGGTTGGTCGGTGATCAAATACTTATGTCATGCAATAAAATGCAAATTAATTACTTAAAAATCATACAATTCCGTCTCTCACAGTTGAAATGTACCTATAATAAAAATTACAGACCTCTACATGCTTTGTAAGTAGGAAGACCTGCAAAATCGGCAGTGTATCAAATACTTGTTCTCCCCACTGTACATATACATTCATACATATCCTTTAAAAATATATATATTTCCCTTTATTACTTTCCAACCCCACCCTAATTGGAGTAAACTAGTGAACAACAATGATTAGGCCTCTACTTCATGCTTATACATACTATATACATTTTATGGACACAGTCACTAATTATATTTTGTTTGTTTTTACTCCTGAACTTCCTCCGATCATTTTCATGATGTTCATCTGGTATGCTTCTATATGCCATATCTTTCTAACTGTGCTCTTTCACAAAATCTCACAATATATAACCTATATACTTATTATGGACACAGCATGTCTTACACTAGTTATCTTGTTGTTATTAGTTGTTGTTATTAGTCCCATCCTTCAGCTCCATTCAACACCTCCCATCTATCTCTTAACACCATCCATATTGGATTTCTATTTGCCATATATTTTTCAACTGTACTGTGATGTTTTACAAAAGTTCTGAACCTTTCTATTCTCATTGTTTCTACAGTTTGTGAATTGAAAATAAACATCTTTGCTAAAAGTATTATTATATTATTGATCGATTGACTATGACTTTTCAGATCACCCAGTAGTGCTATCTGCAGGGTCAGCTTCATGCAAATATTGCAATCCTTCAGCCATTCCTGGACCTGTGTCCAGAAACAAGCTACAAATGGACAGTACCAAAACAAATGATCTAATGATTCTGTCTCTTCACAGCCAAATCTGCAGAGCTGGGAAGATTGTATCCTCCATACAAATAACATTCTATTGGTAGCAAGAATTTTATATAATAATTTAAATTGAAAAATTCAAAGTTATGAATCCGGCGTCGTTTTTGCGTATCAGTTCATAAACACTATGCCATGGAATCGGTATGTCAAAAATCTCTTCCCAACTATTTTACAATCTATATGGGATGGCTGTCAATCTTTTGGTCCTTAAATGAAACTGGTAAACCTTTTTATTAATCACAATTGTCTTAAACCAATTATGTTCTTTAATGCAAGGCCGACAGACAAGTTCTTTACTTTTTCCTCCTTCCACTTTCCTCTTCCATTTTTGCGGTAATGCTGCAATTATTTGGTTGTAATTTTGGGTAGAGCAGACATTTCCATATGTTTTTGTTAGCTGCATGTGCGACATAACTCCACCATTCCTACCGATAATATCATTTTACGAAGATTATACCTTTTATAAACATTTTCTCAAAAAAGTAAGTTTTTTTTTATCAATTAGTATATTTGAGTTTAACCACAATATTTGTTGCAATATTTGTTCTGTCATTTCTGGAGGATTAAATTGAAATTGCAACCAACTTTCTATGGCTTGTTTTAGAAATAGTGATATTTGGGAGATTATTCCCTTTTCAAATACCTGAAAGTGAGGGGTTGTAATCTGAATAAAGGGAAAAAGTCCCTTCTTGAACATTGGGTGAGATAATCTTACTAGTTTGCTAGAGAACCAGTTCGGATTTAAGTATAATTTTTGTATGACTGAAGCTTTTAGTGATAGGTCTAATGCTTTAATATTTAATCATTTCTGTCCTCCTAATTCATATTCATTATATAAATAGGCCCATTTAATTTTGTCTAGCTTGCCATTCCAAATAAAATTGAATATTTTTTTCTCATATCATTTAAAAAAACTGTTCGCTAGGCGTAGGCAAGACCATAAGCAAATAGGTAAACTGGGATAATACTAAAGAGTTAATCAGGGTGATTTTTCCACAAATTGACAGGTATTTACCTTTCCATGGTAGCAAGATCTTATCTATTTTTGCTAACTTTCTATAAAATAAATTTGAGATCATTTATTTCATTTGGGATATGTATTCAGAGTATATCCACATCACCATCATACCATTTTATTGGTAAACTACATGGTAATGTAAAAGTTGTATTTTTTAGTGATCCAATACGTAATATAGTACATTTATCATAATTTGGTTGTAATCCAAAGAGGTTAGAAATGTATCTAGATCCTCTATGAGGCTGTGGAGGGATTCAAGTTGTGGATTTAAAAGATAACATGAATCATCAGCGTACAATGACACCTTTGTTTTTAAGCCCTGGATTTCTAATCCCTTGATATTATTGTTGGATCTGATTTTAATAGCTAACATCTCGATGGCAATAATAAATAGATATGCCGATAGTGGACAACCTTGTTTCACTCCTCTTGACAGTTTAAAACTTAATAGCCATTATTTACCATTTTACACCTAGGGTTACTATACATGATTTTAACCCAATTTATAAGAGATTGTCCAAAATTGAAATGCTCCAGGCATTTCTATATAAACCCCAGTCGTACTTTATAATAATAATAAATAAATACTTTATCAAATGCCTTTTCGAAGTCTGCTATGAATAGTAGGCCTGGCTTCCCAGATTTTTCATAGTGTTCTATTGTTTCCAGTACTTGCCCTATATTATCTCCAATGTATCGCCATGTAAAAAACCTGTCTGATTAGAATGAATAATGTCCGACAACACCTTTTTAATTCTATGCGCTATACATTTTGCTAGAATTTTTGCATCACAACACTGAAGTGTAAGAGGCCGCCAATTTTTTTAATGGACTGGATCTTTATATTTTCCACTTGTATCCTTTTTCAGTAATAATGAAATCAGGCCTTCTTGAGTGTCTGATAATCTACCATTTACATAGGAGTGGTTAAAACATGCTAATAACGGTCCTGAGTATATCAAAAAAGGTTTGGTATACCTCGACTGGTATGCCATCCAACCCTGGGGTTTTCCCCAGACTTAGTCTTTAATTGTTTTTCCTCTAATTTATTCTGTGCCTCTGTTACAGTTTTTATTGCTCGCTATCTGTTCTGTTAGACCTTCTATTTCCTTTGTTAGTATGGACTCTTTTGACCTAAATTGCTTTTGTTTTCGAGATGAGTACTGAATTGCATGGCCTCTAAAAGGCACATTTAAAAGTGTCCCATACAATAAGGGGATTTGCTGTACCTATGTTATGTCGGGGGGAAAAAAATCAGTTATAAATTCCTCTGTCCTAGTTAAAAACAAGTTATCATCCAATAGGCTTTGATAAAATTTCCAATATCCTCACCCACATGGAAATTCAGTAAGAGTAATGTATATGCCAATTATATGATGGTCCGACCGCATTCTGTCCCCTATCAATACTTTTTAAACTTTTGGTGCCAACGAGAATGACTTAAGATTTTTTTCACATGAGTTCGCAAAACACTATTGCTTCACACAGCATGATGCACCTATAATGTCATGAATGAAAAACACAGAGCGTCGAGTACAAAAACATTCAACATTTATTGAGACGATTCCAAGATTCCAGAACACAAGTGTGTGACACACAAAGTGTTTATATATGACAGGGAGAACAAGGCACTGTGTGCGCGTGAGCCGACCAGCAATAAACATATCTAAAAACATCACTACCTGAACAAGATTACTTCATCCCGTGCACAACACACTCCCGATACTATTCCACAATTTCAAATACCCACTCCTTTCATAATTTAAAAAGGAGTGGTAACTGTGTGTGCGTGTGTTTCATGTCTCCCTCGCTCTATGCCAGTGTAACATATGTAGCATCAGTGGTAACACCACAGTTGTTATCCTTCATAGACATCAATATATACCCGTCGTTGCCCCAGTAGGTTGACCAGGAGTTCTTCACCAGCCAGTACGGCTCCGCCTCCATGACGCCATAACCCACTGCAAGCACCGCGTGATCCAGGGAGTCAGTGGTGTTTCCTAGGAGAGAGAGGAGGGGGAAGAAAGAAAGAGATCGAGTGAGAAAGAGAGGAGCCCTTAGGAACACCTCAGACAGATTTGAAGAATAGCTGTGTATACCCTATAGCAGGGGTATTCAACTCTTACTCTACGAGGTCTGGAGCCTGCTGGTTCTGTTCTACCTGATAATTAATTGCACCCACATGATGTCCCAGGTCTAAAAATCCGTCCCTGATTATAGGGGGGAAATGAAAAAACGCAGTGGAACTGACTTCGAGGTCCAGAGATGAGTTTGAGGGCTCTATAGAATATAACTCACCACATTTGGGTTCGTAGTAGACTCCGTGGCTGTAGAAGACAAAGGATCTATGTCCTGCGTCAATACTGATGGCCACTGGGCCGTTTTTAAACAGCGCCACCTTCAGGGCCTCTGCATCACCTGACGTCACATTGGTGTAGCTCTGGACACGGGCTGTCAGCTGGGAAGAGTTGAAGTGGCACAGGCCATTCTGTTAAGAGAGAGAGATAGAGTCAGACACTAGGTTAAAGTACAGTATATTGTAAAGATTTACATGTCCTGTTTGTCAGAGTATATGAGTTTATAAAATGTGTGTAAGAGATGTGAATAGTGAAGAGCTGCAGGCAAAGCATAGAGCCCTGGGGATTACCTCCGTAGACTAGTTCTCTGTGTGTGTGTGTGTGTGTGTGTGTGTGTGTGCGCGCATCTCACCATGCCCATGTAGGATCCATAGGTCTCCGTTGTGGCGATGCCTCCATGTTTCATGATCCACTCGTAGGCCCTCCACTCCTCTCCTCCATCACATCCATTATTACCAAAGCCCCAGCTACAGTCTACCAACATCTGCTGGGACAAGACCTGGAGAGACCCTGACTACAGGGAGAAGGAGGGAGGGAGGAATTGACAATTAAAACTGGGTGAGAAACATTCTACTTCTCCGGGGCAATAAATAAAACAGACCTGTTAACAGAAGACTGGAAATGAAGAGTTGAGGGGAAAAAAAAAAAGAGGGAGAGAGAATGCGAGAGGCTAATTACTGTTTATACACAGCGACTTCCACAGCTGTGTCTGTGGGTTGCTATGAGGTTGCCATGAGGTCACAGAGGGGAGGAATCTGATTGGCTCCCTGGGAAGAAGTATGTTTATGAACCTGCCAATGCGGTGGGACACAGCACCTCCCGGTCACTTCCTACTGAGAGGACGAGGTCATTTCCTTTGAGCTGGCAGAGGTACAAAGGAGGACCACTGTGACACAAGACTAACAACCATCTCCCTCCTCAACTCACACCCCTACTCCAACTAAGACTACCCCTCACCTCTCCCAAATAAGTCCCAACTTCACCTTAATTGACTCATGTAAGTTCAACGAACTCCCTGAACCCCCCCACACACGTCCCATTAAAAATCTCCTGAACTGCCATCAGTTACTACTGCTAATGAGGGTGTGTTGTTCTCAAGGGAATGGTGAATCCTCAGCGTGACAGCACATAATAATAAACCTGTCTTGAAAATGTATAGTTGCTAGGCAACGCCAGAAGGGAAGGAATGCTGGTGGATATGGACTGTGTAGTATTATTGGGTGCAGGGAGACCAGAGATGGTGGTGATGCATTGAAGTATATTACAGAGTACATTGCAGCTAGACAGAACTTAAAACACACCTAAACTACATAATTATCAACTGACAATACAAATACGTGGGAGGAAAAATTGTGTTCACAAGCTGTAGCTAATTAAGTGTGAACAAGTTGCCAGTTTATTTATTTTTCATCCATTTTACCTTTGAATAAATGACAATATTAATCATCATCCTCAGGGATGTGCTACAGCTCAGACTGCTGATATTATAGGCAGAAAATCCAATTAATTTCCATTGTTCATTAAGTTGATGGGTCATTTCTAACAAAACCTTTAGATAATCTGCAATAATTTCAACAACTACAAGTAAAGTGGAAAAACTCAGAAGTGAAATGGCCACCTTGAACAGTGAACCATCAATTTCTGCTATAAAAGATCTAATAATGAAAGAGAAGGATTGCCGTTTTGAATTTGGTCAAGTTAGTGTGGGAATCCTTGATGGGAATTTATGGAGAATGGTAGCAGACTGTATTGCCACCCCCATTTTCTATAGTCTAAAGAAGTGTGTGTGTCCACAGGCGTGGAAGGGAGCTAATGTAATTCCACTGCCTAAAAAAATTAATAGTAAAGCACCCTTTGCTGGCTCTAACAGCCACCCAATCAGTTTGCTGCCTGTTCCTAGTAAACTGATGGAGAGAACTGTGTTTGACCAAATACAATGCCATTTTTCAGAGAACAAGTGAACTATTGACTTTCAGAATACATAGAGAAGGGCACTCAATTTGTACTGCACTGAATCAGATGACTGATGATTGGTTAAAAGATAATAAGAAGATAGTTGGAGCTGAATTGTTAGATTTCAGTGCAGCCTTTGATGTTATTGATGAAACTCACTCGCTATGGCTTTACTTCACCTGCCATCACATGTTGTGAAGATGGATGGGATAGGTGTTATAAAAAAGATGATCGGTGTTCTTCTACACAAAAATCAACTGTACGGGTCTTGTCCCATCTTGATTGCTGTCTGGTAATATGGTCAAGTGTAGCAAAGAAAGACCTAGCAAAGCTGCAGCTGGCTCAAAACAAAGCAGCATGCCTTGCCCTTAACAGCACATACAGAACTAACAACATGCACAACAGTCTTTCCTGGTTGAGGTTGAGGAGAGATGAACTGCTTCTCTTCTAGTTTATGAGAAATATTCCTGTGATGAAAATTCCAGATTGTCTGCATAATCAAATAACAGCTCAGACACCCATTACCCCACAAAACATGCCACCATGGGTCTCTTCACAGTCCCCAAGTCCAAAACAAATTCATGGCAACGCACAGTATTCTACAGAGCCAAGTACTCACGCAAATAGCAAAATTACCTTGAAAAGAAAGATTAAACATGTCATGGAACACAAACACCAGGGTTTCCTAATTTAGTGGAATTAAATAGCCCTGTGTGTATTTTGGTTAGTCATCATGCATCTTATTTATCCAACACAACTATCATATGAACACAGCATTCAGAGCCTATTTTGAGTGAGATTTCCCCTGCTGCTTCTCAGCTGGTGACTTCTGGAGTAAAACATGCTTTTATAAGCCCATTCATTGCACAACAACTCTAAACGCAATCATGTGTTCAAAAAAGTTTTGGTGCACGATAAAAAATAAATAATTGCTACCATTTGTATCAATTGGTAATTGAAGCACATCTCCCATTCACCATTCAAGTGCAGGCAACAGACTATCAGCGCGTCACCAACCATTTTAAAAGGTGAGTTGGAGGCAGTACGCATTTTGAAAATATACATAATTGTTTGAAACCTGAATGTTTGTCTTACCTTGCTTCAAAGTAGCCTATAGGCAAAATCTGACCATGGAAACGTGGAGGCAATTATTTTATAAAAACACTTCATAGGCGGGAAGTGAGTTTAAAGCTTACCATTTCTACGTGCCAGTTATGATTTCCATATGCGCATTTTTCGTGGAACAGTTTCATTTCAATAATAATGTTTTTCGTTTCTCAAAATCATTGTCACGTGGTTAATCATAAAAATCTCAAATAAAGTCCAGGTAATTCTGTGTGATCAGGCGCGCACACGCTCCCTCAACATTATGAAGAGAGAAACCAGACAGACAGTCTCATTGCTCTCATGGAGCCCTTCAAACAAAATACAATGAAACAAATTTACAAATCTCTTAAATGATGGTTATGAAATAAACCTAAACTTGTTTCTCACCAGTGTAGCAGGTTCTGAACTCTGCAAAGAACGTTTCCACTCTGAGAATGGTAAATGACTAATTAATACATGCATTAACAGAAATTAATGTAACCAAATGACAGGGGTTAACAGTATATTTACTACTGGTGACATATGTAATGGGGAATTTATTTATTTTTAATCTCAAAGGGCAAACAACTCGATGAATGCGCAAGAATTGGTAGGAGACAGCTGAGCCATTCTGGAGAGAGACTGGCCTAGATCTACACCACACACCCCTCCCCTTCTTCTTGTCTAAACATTAAAAATGATACTCAAGACACATCTTAGATGCTTTTCACTGACCGCCGCAACTCAATAATCAGCTCGGCCTATTGCCACGCACGCTGCCCGAATAGGCATAGGCCTACAATCTTGTGATTTGAAACAATCCACAGCTATTTTTTTTAAAAGAAGCTAATAATCCTTGATTCCTCTGTGGCTAAATCATGCTTTCTGGCAAAGTATTTTGAATAATTTGATTTACTTCTGTACAGACGGAGTAATTATATTATTTCCATTTACTTCCCTACTGGAACCACCGCTATGCTATTTCACTCCTGTTCTATTGGTTTTCATATGAACTTCCTTTCGTTGTCCAGAAGCCAAAGGCACAATCCTAGTCATATTAGCAACCCATCCTAGTTGTTGCATCTTTAGATCCCCCCCCCCTCTGTTTTTAACCAAGATTTTAATCCCTGTCACATATGGTACCGCTATCAGGTGCCCTGTTTAGAATTGCATTTTGGCAAATGTTTGAAAATGACATTTTATTGGCTGCTTCATTACATGAGTTGCAGGTTCTGTTAAGATGCATTAACATTTGTTGCATCGTTTGTATTCTTTTTTGTTGTATTGTTTGTATATCGTTGTATTTTACATTTATGTGACTGTCCTTCAGTCTATCAGTGTTTTGCCACTGGTCATGTTTTTTGTGGACCCCAGGAAGAGTAGCTGCTGCTTCTGCAAAAGCTAATGGGGATCCAAATAAACAGCTATAACACCCCTCCAACTGAAGTTATTCTAAATCACTGTGTGTGAGATATATTACTTTCAGGAAGAGAGCGCCCTCTATTGCTCCAGTGGTGGCAAAGCTCCAACATGAACCACAGATCGCCTGGTCCTTCACTGGAGTCACAGCACCTAGAAAATACAGACATTATGTTACAATACACACACACACACACACACACACACATTCCCGCCCTCTACACCAGTGGAGGCTGGTGAGTGGAGCTATAGGAGGACAGCTCATTGTAATGGCTGGAACTGAATAAATAAACACAAACATATGGAAACTACGTTTTACTCCGTTCCATTTCTTTCATTCCAGCCATTACAATCAGCCAGTCCTCCTACAGCTCCTCCCACCAGCCTCATCTGCTCTACACACACTCCCCTTACCACCCCAACACACACCCTACCACACACACACGTACCATAGAGCCTCCAGTCCAGCTGATCAGGGACCTGTACTCCAGTGTATAGATGCATGGGGAACTGCAAGCCATTGTTGGGTCTCTTCCCTCTGTTTCTGCCCCTCATAGCAGACAGCTCAGACATGGAGCGGTCAGACAGAGAGTTGACCGCCAGGGAGAACGACAGGCCAGCACGGTTCATAGAGTGGACATACCTGGGAGAGGAAGTGATGGAGGAAAGAAGAGTGAGGGGGGAATAGAGAGAGAGAGGAACAGACAGAATTTGTAACAACCAAATGCCCTAAAACCCTTTCAATCCCTCTCTTCCGTTTAATTTGTTTATCTCTTGCCCTCTCCCTCTTCCTCTAGCTCCCTCACCGGAGGTTGTGAACGAATGCGTGCTCTCTCTTCTCGTGCTCCCTCTCATCACCATAACGACGGCCAAACTGCTCCTTGAAGTGGCCAAACAACCGCTGGGCATGGCCTAACGAGGAAGTGTGGATCAGATCTTTCATCGGATTGGCCAGCAGGTGGTGCTCCACCCCCGGGCCAGGAAATGAACCACAGCTCATCCCTAAAGAGAGAGTAGAGAGAGATGTGACCGACAAGGATTAAGATTGTTCACTAATGGTCACATGGCGTGAGGGCTGTGTTTGTGCGTGCTAACCGTCAGGCAGGGCGAAGACCTTGGGGTCAAACTTTGAGCTGAACTCCTTGTAGTCGACCAGATATTTATCATAATGGGACCCCAGCAGGGTGTTGTAGCCCATCATCTCGTAGTGTAGGGGCGTGGCCAGCTCAGCTCCTCCCATAACCCCTCCTTCAGGGCGTGTCACCCAGAGTGTGTAGGTATTCTTCTTGTGTCCGACAGCTGTCACGTTCTGCCAGACCTCACACAGCGCTCCGCCATAGTACTCCATCTTGAGGAACTACACACAAATACCTTTTTCTTTTTACGTATAACTTCTCAAAACTACCTGTATTCATTGAAAAACTCAATGAATTACCACGCACACATACACACACCTACCGTAAACCCCTGGAGGTCAGGTAAGGATCCCTGAGGTGTGACTGGCTCTTCTTTGGTTCCATTGACCTGGAAACACTTCATAATGTTTAGCTCCACCTCTGTGGTCTCAGGAGTGATCTTATAGGCCGATCCCCACGGAAGCTCCACCCCAATCTGGTACGTCGACACCTGGCCTGAGGGTCACCATGACAACACAGAAAATAAGAATTGAAGTTGACTGCATGTTAGTGCTGGACTAACAAAAGTCTGCACACCCTGGAATAGAGTTAGAGATCCCTGGTCTTAGTGGTTCTCTCCTCATTACTTATCTTATCTCCTCATCTCTGGGATTTTATAACATGATTTAAAAGAAGAAGCTGAGGTTTCAGTCTACTGATGTAGACTCAGAACAAAGGCCTCTCAGTTCCACACGTGATTCACTGACAACACGTCTCAAATGACATCCACTACAACCCTGCTGCTAACATGCACTACTTCTGATCAGCGCTGCAGCACAGGGCTCTGCTCAAAAGGATGTAATTTGAGACAACAACAAAAAAATCACAGGCCCTGTCCACCCAAAAACAACCCCTAGCCACTTCACCTAGTTTCTTGCTTAAATCTGCAAGGATTTTATAGGCATAAGCAATATGATGGATATTCCAGCTTGCCTGAGCGAGAACATGGAGCCATTTTGCTTGAATATTGTACAGCTAATGTGTAAATAGTTACCATGGTAATAGTCGATGCGGCTTGTCCTCCCCGTCAGGTCAAACCAGGCCTCGAACGGTTCCTTTATCTCAGCATAGGGCAGGGAGATCACACCTGATACACACAAATGTAATTAATTAAAGTAACTAACTGTATTTCGCTATGATAAGAGCGTCTGTTAAATGATTAAAATGTAAATGGTGTAATCTAGTAGTTACTGACAGCTCATAAAAAAGGACAGGATATATATATATATTATACCGATACATTAAGTGACCCCTCAGTTCAAAAACAATAGGTCTCACTCACCTTTGACATGGTATGCCTTCCCGAAGTCTGGGACTGAAGGGACAGCTTTTCCCTCTATGGTTGTGGCTGAGGAGAAAGACCATGTCAATGCCAGACGTGTATGAAGATGTCATATTCCAGTGTCTACCCTTAACCCCTCTGTCAATGCCAGACGTGTATGAAGATGTCATATTCCAGAGTCTACCCTTAACCCCTCTCATACTATTACTGCTAACATTACCCCTCCACTGTGACCTAAGAGAAGAAAGTGGGTTACAGATGTGGAGTGGGATTTGCACTTATTGTTGCAGGACAACAAAGTAAACAACACATAGGATAACAGTCGAGACCAGGCTTGTGACCACCACGTGTCAAAGTCTGAAGCTCAGTTGGCTGGATGACCTTTGACGACTTATCACAGACTGAGATGAGGTTTACTTTCTCACTCACTCTTGTATTCTTCAAAAATAATAATTCGTTGCCTACTTTAGTCAGAAGCAACGCGAGTCAACAGTCGGTGCCCACAGAATGGAAAAGTATACACGATTCCAGTTTAGAGATAATGTGTTAATGTTATGCCAAAATACATCTAGTTACAAGCCAGCTTGCAGTGGCACACGCTTCCTCTTTATTAAAAAAAAAAAAGACTAATGTTAATCACGATTTTGTAACTAAATTAGTTTGACAGTTACTAAACCAGTTATGCGACATGGCGCTAACGTTAGCTGACTAAATTCCACTCCGTGGTTCCTTCACCATGGAGTGGAGTTTTTCTCAGCTACAATAGAGCAGTATCCTACCCCTGAGTCAGAGTCAACGACATTTGTTTACCAGTGCAACATGCAGGGTCTTGTCATAGAAGTTACTGTAATTTGAACCCGGTCATTCTGAGATATTTGACTGGGAGTTTTAGCAGTGCGGTCAGGTCGCCCGGTGTCACGAGATCTGTGCAGGCGCGGCAACTGTTGTGTTCCCAATTAGCATTTTATCAAAAACACCAGAATAGAATTCAGTTCAGACAATAACAACACTACAAATAATTCTATAGTAGGCCTACATTTGGGTGAGTAAAGACAGGACGCATCGAATACGCAATACATAAACATAAAGAAAACGATCAGAATCTATCAACTTCCAATGAACTCTGTCTTGACAAAAACGCATACATCTCGAGAGCTTACCAACTGCGCTCCACAACAGCACAGTTACGATGTACCAGCCCCTCATAGCTTCTTGTCATAGGTTGTTCAAAGCGAATATGAGAGCAGTCAGAAAGACAAAAACATATCGTTGTGTGTTCTGCAACGACTTGATTGATATAAAATGTATCAATTTATGGTCATGCTCTAAATGATTGACATCTATTTGGGCCAATCAGATGGAAGTCCTGGTAGAAGCACTCCAATCACAGGACAGGGGTGGCTGATTTGGGCAAGTCATGTGATTTCGGTATTTATTGTGCATTTCTACAGAGATATTTTGGCATTATTCGGCATCTTTAGAGTCTGTCAGAGAGAAAATAACAATCATGTGCATGTAATGTCAGACATTTTTTCGCATTTGATAACATTTCCCCTGGTATTTTAAGTCTGTATTCCGCAGTGGCACTGCCTCATAAAAGGACAAATACAATTGCGAATCTGCGCCACTTTGTGGATCCATGTTCTTACTGTCAGTGATTATATGTGAGAAGGACACTATGTCGGAAACACAAAAATAAAATCTCGCGTAATTGAGTCAGACAATAAATTAGTAGTGTACTCTTGTCTGCGAGAGGTCACAAAACTATGGTTTAGTCGAGGTATTGATAATGTACAATACCATTACACAGAAACATTCATACAAGTTGATTCACACACTAAATTTAACTTCACAACAGAGAACCAGAACTGGGTCATAATATATTAATCAAATACCTGAGTTGGGCTTGAAGTCGTTTAAACGGTGGCGGTGTCATAATACCCACAAAACCTGAACAGGGAATTGGTTCCAATTGTTTTCCCACCATTCATTTTAGAAACACTTAAAATAAGGGTTGTGTTTCGTGTAGGCTTACCCTGGCGTGACATTTTGATAACATGTACAATGTATTCGGAAAGTATTGAGACACCTTGACTTTTTACACATTTTGTTACGTTACAGCCTTATTCTAAAATGGATTACATTCGTTTTTTTCCTCAAATCTACACACAATACCCCATAATGACAAAGTGAAAACAGCTTTTTAGAAATGTCTGCACATTTATAAAAAATAAATACCCTATTTACATAAGTATTCAGACCCTTTGCTATGAGACTCCAAATTGAGCTCAGGTGCATTCTGTTTCCATTGATCATCCTTGAGATGTATCTACAACTTGATTGGAGTCCACCTGTGGTAAATTCAATTGGTTGGACATGATTTGGAAAGGCACACACCTGTCTATATAGGGTCCCACAGTTGACAGTGTATGTCAGAGCAAAAACCAAGCCATGAGGTCGAAGGAATTGTCCATAGAGCTCTGAGACAGGATTCTGTCGACGTACAGATCTGGGGAAGGGTACCAAAACATTTCTGCAACATTGAAGGTCCAAGAACACGGTGGCCTCCATCATTCATAAATGGAAGAAGTTTGGAACCACAAATACTTTTCCTAGAGCTGGCTGCCCGGCCAAACTGAGCAAGAAGGGTCTTGGTCAGGGAGGTGACCAAGAACCCAATGGTCACTGACAGAGCTCCAGAGTTCCTCTGTGGATCTGAGAGAACCTTCCAGAAGGACAACCATCTCTGCAGCACTCCACCAATCAGGCATTTATGGTGGAGTGGCCAGACGGAAGCCACTTCTCAGTGAAAAGCACGACAGCCCGCTTGGAGTTTGCCAAAAGGCACCTAAAGGACTCCGAACATGAGAAACATGATTCACTGGTCTGAAACCAAGATTGAACTCTTTGGCCTGAATGCCAAGTGTCACGTCTGGAGGAAACCTGGCTCCATCCCTACGGTGAAGCATGGTGGTGGCAGCATCATGCTGTGGGGATGTTTTTCAGCGGCAGGGACAGGGAGACTAGTCAGGATCGAGGAAAAGATTAACGGAGCAAAGTACAGAGAGATCCTTGATGAAAACCTGCTCCAGAGTGCCCAGGACCTCAGACTGGGGTGACGGCTCACCTTCCAACAGGACAACGACCCTAAGCACATAGCCAAGACAATGCAGGAGTGGCTTCGGGACATGTCTCTGAATGTCCTTGTGGCCCAGCCAGAGCCCAGACTTGAACCTAATCGAACATCTCTGGAGAGATCTGAAAATAGCTGTGCAGCGACGCTCCCCATCCAACCTGACAGAACTTGAGGATCTGCAGAGAAGAATGGGAGAAACTCCCCAAATACAGGTGTGCCAAGCTTGTAGCGTCATACCCAAGCAGTCAGGAAAGCAAAGGCAAATTTTTTCAAACAGAAATTTGCATCCTGTAGCACTAACTCCAAAAAGTTTTGGGACACTGTAAAGTCCATGGAGAATAAGAGCACTTCCTCCCAGTTGCCCACTGCACTGAGGCTAGGAAACACTATCACCACTTATAAATCTACAATAATCGAGAATTTCAACAAGCATTTTGCTACAGCTGGCCATGCTTTCCATCTGGCTACCACTACCCCGGCCACCAACTCTGCACCCTCCGCTGAAACTTGCCCATGCCCCCACCGCTTCTCCTTCACACAAATTCAGACAGCTGACGTTTTGAAAGAGCTGCAAAATCTGGACCCCTACAAATCAGCTGGGCTAGACAATCTGGACCCTTTCTTTCTAAACTAGCCGCCGAAATTGTCGCAACCCCTATTACTAGTCTGTTCAACCTCTCTTTCATAACGTCTGAGATCCCCAGAGATTGGAAAGCTGCCGCGGTCATCCCCCTCTTCAAAGGGGGTGACACTCTAGATCCAAACTGCTACAGACCTATATCCATCCTGCCCTGCCTTTCGAAAGTATTTGAAAGCCAAGTTAACAAACAGATCACCGACCATTTCGAATACCACCGTACCTTCTCCGTTATGCAATCCGGTTTCCGAGCTGGTCATGGGTGCACTTCAGCCACGCTCAAGGTCCTAAACGATATTATAACCGTGATTGATAATAGACAGTACTGTGCAGCCGTCTTCATCGACCTGGCCAAGGCTTTTGACTCTGTCAACCACCTCATTGGCAGACTAAATAGCCTTGGTTTCTCAAATGACTGCCTCGCCTGGTTCACCAACTACTTCTCAGATAGAGTTCAGTGTGTCAAATCGGAGGGCCTGTTGTCTGGACCTATGGCAGTCTCTATGGGGGTGCCACAGGGTTCAATTCTTGGGCCGACACTTTTCTCCGTGTATATCAATGATGTCGCTCTTGCTGCTGGTGACTCTCAGATCCACCTCTACACAGACGACACCATTTTGTATACATCTGGCCCTTCATTGGACACTGTGTTAACAAACCTCCAAACGAGCTTCAATGCCATACAACACTCCTTCAGTAGCCTCCAACTGCTCTTAAACACTAGTAAAACTAAATGCATGCTTTTCAATCGAACGCTGCTGGCACCCGCCCACCCGACTAGAATCACCACTCTTGACGGGTCTGACCTAGAGTATGTGGACAACTACAAATACCTAGGTGTCTGGTTAGACTGTAAACTCTCCTTCCAGACTCACATAAAGAATCTCCAATCCAAAGTTAAATCTAGAATCGGCTTCCTATTTCGCAACAAAGCCTCCTTCACTCATGCTGCCAAACATGCCCTCGTAAAACTGACTATCCTACCGATCCTTGACTTCGGCGATGTCATTTACAAAATAGCCTCCAACACTCTACTCAGCAAATTGGATGTAGTCTATCACAGTGCCATCCGTTTTGTCTCCAAAGCCCCATACGCTACCCACCACTGTGACCTGTACGCTCTTGTTGGCTGGTCCTCACTACATGTTCGTCGTCAAACCCACTGGCTCCAGGCCATCTATAAATCACTGCTAGGCAAATCCCCACCTTATCTTAGCTCATTGGTCACCATAGCAGCACCCACCGGTAGTCTGCGCTCCAGCAGGTATATCTCACTGGTCATTCCCAAAGCCAACACCTCCTTTGGCCGCCATTCCTTCCAGTTCTCTGCTGCCAATGACTGGAACGAATTGCAAAAATCTCTGAAGCTGGAGACTCTTATCTCCCTTACTAACTTTAAGCATCAGTTGTCAGAGCACCTTACCGATCACTGCACCTGTACACAGCCCATCTGAAATTAGCCCACCCAACTACCTCATCCCTATATTGTTATTTATTTTGCTCTTTTGCACCCCAGTATCTCTATTTGCACATAATCTCTTGCACATCTATCATTCCAGTGTTAATACTATTGTAATTATTTTGCACTATAGCCTATTTATTGCCTTACCTCCATAACTTGCTACATTTGCACACACTGCATATATATTTTCTGTTGTATTTTTGACTTTATGTTTTTTACCCCATATGTAACTCTGTGTTGTTTTTATCGCACTGCTTTGCTTTATCTTGGCCAGGTCGCAGTTGTAAATGAGAACTTGTTCTCAACTGGCTTACCTGGTTAAATAAAGGTGAAATAAAAATAAAAATAAAAAAAGACTCGAGGCTGTAAACGCTGTCAAATGTGCTTCAACAAAGTACTGAGTAAATGGTCTGAATACCTATGTAATATTTCGTTTTTTTTATTTTTAATACATTTGCCAACATTTCTAAACCTGTTTTTGCTTTGTCATTATGGGGTATTGTGTGTCGATTGGTGGGGGGGGTTGCTAAATTGGCAACACTGCTCATACTGTGGAATAGTCCAAAAAGTGCCAACTCCAAGCTAAATTAAACACAGCTCAAATACTTTAAATTGTTTACTTGACATATGTATGACACATCCATTTTAGAATAAGGCTTTAACGTAACAAAGTGGAAAAAGTCAAAGGGTCTGAATACTTTCCTAATGCACTGTAAATCTCTCCCGGGCAAGATGATTTATCAATACTAAGCTCTATTTACTCTGATACGAAAATGCTAATTAGCATTAAAGTAGACATCATGCAAGACTACAAATCCCTGCAAGCTCCTGCACTTAATTTCTAGCTGTCATCTTTGCTAACAGGTTCACCGCATTGTCCATTTAAAGAAATGTAGCCAATTTATTCATTACTACATTTAGCTAACAGATAGTTAATCCAGAGATGACCTTTGCCTCGAGTCGGCAGTCTCGTCCAGATCATGGCATTTGTAGTTATTTTACGATCGCCACATTAGCAGCGAATTAGTGTTTCATTTTTGGGGGGTAAATAGGAGGTGACTATATTGATAAGTCACCTTGTCCTATAGAGATTTAGACGGTTATCAAAACGTCACGCCACGGTAAGCCTACCATGAAACACAGCCCATATTTTAAGTGTTTCTAAAATCCCCTATGGGAAAAATGAATGGTGGAAAAACGATTTTAACAATTTCCTTGCTTGACCGCTAGGTTTTATGGGTATTATGACTCATACTCAGTGTTGCCAACTCCTCAGTAAGGAAATTAGCTATTGGCTGTCCTAAAAGTCGCTAAATGATGTCATCACCTAATTTGCATAATTGACCATGTGCATGTAATTGTGATGGACGCTGTAGGAGAGGAATAACGTTGTGGGAAAGACAAAACGTGAGTAAAAAACACCCTACATTTACATTCTGCCCTGAATGTAAGCCAGGGCGGAATCAGCCAGCGGCTGCTTCCCGCATGCGCGATTCATTTGCAGTCTGGACGCGGAGGGGTGAACATCTCCTGCTCTGACAGCCTGGAGGGAATCCTGCGCAAGGACTGGGCCGCCTGTGAGTACTTTGGGACGGGGGTAACAAAGCACCCGCTGCTCGTTGAGCAGAGTAAGAACGATACGTGCTTTCACGTCAGTCCCCAAAAGTCTCCAATAACACCAGAAAAAGTCGCTAGATTTGTCGCTAGTCTCTTTTTTGAAAATGTGTCGCTAGAGGGGTCTGAAAATTCGCCAAATATAGTGACAAAGTCGCTAAGTTGGCAACACTGCTCATACTGTGGAATAGTCCAAAAAGTGCCAACTCCAAGCTAAATTAAACACAGCTCAAATACTTTAAAATTGTTTACTTGACATATGTATTTGACACGTCTTTAGATTACACATTATTTTATACAGCAGTTTTAACATAACACCACACTGATTAAGAGTCCATGTCTTTGTTAACTAACACACATGCATTTCCTCCCCCTAGTTTCCTCTTTCTTGTTCCTTATTATTGTGCAATTCAACAGTGATCATTTGGGTATTTATACACCACTAGCTAGGCTTGGGGAAGTATAGCTGACCCTATCCTAATTTAAACAATAGCCCTACACTTCCCTAACTGAAATGTATTTGATTAATCTGGGTCTCTAAAACTAGTCCTACAGGTAGGCTAAAACTATACCCATACGTATCCTACTGTAGGCAACAAAACCCAACACATATTACCAGCAACACTACCTTTTATATGTACAGATTCTGATGGGAAGTGTAGTGTGTGTGTGTGTGTGTGTGTGTGTGTGTGTGTCTGTGTTATTCTGGGCGGTCAGCCAGGTTAGTTCTGATAGGTAGTGTAGTATCCATCCAGTGGTTGGGGTTCAGGATCATGGAGTTCCACACAGTGGCTTCTTCCTCTGTTGAATCCATCCAACACACTGCCACTCCATAGCTCAGACCTGTAACACAAACCTTGTTACAATGTCATCTGTGCATACACAGTGCGTATCTATCTATTTGTATGTGTGTGTGTGTGTGTGTGTGTGTGTGTGTATATATATATATCTCACCAGTCCCACGGCTGAGTCTGACCCCTCCCAGCAGATGTGTTTTTAACCCTTCACGGTGCCAGACGGTCAGCTCGGCGCAGGCCTCTCGCAGGTCAGCAGGCTGGAACCCGTCGTAAACCATGGTGTGGTTGTAGGTCGGACTGACCGACCGCTTAACTACGCGGGTCTTCTGACCACTCAACCGGCTGGTGTCCGGCAGCACGTAGCTTGGATTAAAGTCAAAGTAGGGTTAAAGAACAGTTATTATACACATTCCGCTATACTGTAAACAGTCTTATCCCACTAACTCTAGACCCCCGTTCCTCAAATCCAGACCTTGAGATCAGCCACACTGCAGGTTTTCTTCCTACTCCTGACCTCTAACCCCTAACTCACCTTTTGACGAAGGAGTCGACGGTGCCCCCTTTGGTGGAGAGAAGACCCTGCGCTTCCCGCAGCCAGATGTGTAGCTCCCCTGTTAGAGGTAGACCTCCACCTACACACACACACACACAGAATAAGTTCAGAGTAAATTCAGACAGAGTATGAGAGAAAGAAAAAGTGCCATGTGTGACGAGCGTAGTGAGCTCAGCTCACCCTCAGATCTTGCTGGGGTGAACTTGATAGAGAGCAGGATGTTTCCTCGACTACTGATAGACTCTGGACTACACTGGACCTGAGAGAGAGAGAACAGAGAAAAAGAGAGGAGAGAGAGATTGAAGAGAGGAGAGATTAGGTTAGAAGGGTTACATAAGAGTTAGTTGAAATTCTCAGCATCTTCTCTCCTCCTTGCCAGTTAAGACCATATACAATGTAGGACTTACTGCATGCTGTGTGTGTGTGTTGGGGGGGGGGGGGGGTGTCCTACCCGTGTCTGTAGCTGGTACCAGTCAGAACGCGTGTGTGTCCAGTCCCAGTGAGCCAGCTCAAGCTCCACCTCTCCTAGGAACAGGTTTCTGCCCAGGGGGGCAGCGTGCCACACAGACAGGTTCAGAGTCCTGCCACGCACCTCTGACACACTGATCTTATACTGAAACACACACAATTATACTGAGAGACACACAAGTGATAAATACATTCACATGTACATCAGAAAGACAGAGAGAGACAGACAGACCGGCAAGTAGACAGAGAGAGGAGACACACGACAGATGCTGAGGGAAAGGAATCGAGAAAGAGAGAGACAGTGTATGTGTGTGTGTGTATGTGTGTGCTCTCACTTTCAGTGTCTGGTCAAAGACTGGGTTGAGAGTCTTTTTCTTCACTGATGTTTTCTTCTTACTGTGAGATGACTTATCAGGCAGGAGATATGCCTTCACATACCTACAACACACACACACTTCTTAACACAAAACAAGTGCTTCTCAAAGGGATAGTTCACATCAATGATGCCTGTAAGCATCCTCGAAATAGCAACCCTACTTTACTTACGGGTCGGAGTGGTTCTTGCGTGCGGCGGCCAGGTCTTCACAGCGACACACTCTGATCTGTAGCTCTTCCCTCTGAGTGTCATATTCCAATGAGAATAGGACACGCCCTTTCACCTCCACTGCTCCGAACTCCCCCGAACTGAACAGACTCATCATACTGCCACTCAACTATATACACACACACAAAAAAAAACGTCAGTGTTTTGTGTGTATGTACACTACTGTTCAAAAGTTTGGGGTCACTTAGAAATGTCCTTGTTTTCTAAAGAAAAGCAATTTTTTTGTCCAGGATGCTGACCTTCTAGGCAGAGTTGCAAAGAAAAAGCCATATCTCAGACTGGCCAATACCACGAAAAGATTAAGATGGGCAGTCTGAGATATGGCTTTTTCTTTGCAACTCTGCCTAAAAGGTCAGCATCCTGGAGTCGCTTCTTCACTGTTGACGTTGAGACTGGTGTTTTGCGGGTACTATATAATGAAGCTGCCAGTTGAGGACCTGTGAGGCGCCTGTTTCTCAAACTAGACACTAATGTATTTGTCCTCTTGCTCAGTTGTGCACCGGGGCCTCCCACTCCTCTTTCTATTCTGGTTAGAGCCAGTTTGCGTTGTTCTGTGAAGGGAGTAGTACACAGCGTTGTACGAGATCTTCAGTTTCTTGGCAATTTCTCGTATGGAATAGCCTTCATTTCTCAGAACAAGAATAGACTGACAAGTTTCAGAAGAAAGTTATTTGTTTCTGGCCATTTTGTGCCTGTAATCGAACCCACAATTGCTGATGCTCCAGATACTCAACTAGTCTCAAGAAGGCCAGTTTTATTGCTTCTTTAAAATCAGCACAACAGTTTCCAGCTGTGCTAACATAATTGCAAAATGGTTTTCTAATGATCAATTAGCCTTTTAAAATGATAAACTTGGATTAGCAAACACAACGTGCCATTGGAACACAGGACTGATGGTTGCCGATAAATGGGCCTCCGTACGCCTATGTAGATATTCCATTAAAAATCTGACGTTTCCAGCTACAATAGCCATTTACAACATTAACAATGTCTACACTGTATTTCTGATCAATTTGATGTTATTTTAATGGACAAAAAATTTGCTTTTCTTTCGAAAACAAGGAAATGTCTAAGTGACCCCAAACTTTTGAACGGTAGTGTATGTATGTATATAATGTGTGTGTGTGTGTGTGTGTGTGTGTGTGTGTGTGTATGTGTCTCACTGTGTAGTTAGAATGTAGACTGCTGATTGAGCTCCCAGGCCTTAGAGGCATCGGATCAGCATCTGTCACACCACTGGACACAGAGTTTCTGTCTCCTTCTGAGTCCTACACACACACAGATGGGAACACACACACAGTCAGCAGGTTTCTAGAACAGAAAGAGGCAATAGTAGGATAAAACGTTATTATCCCCAAACAAGGATATTGGTGAGTGTCTGTAGACTGTACCTGCAGTGTTTCCTCTCTGTGTCCATTCCTCCTGCTGTAATACTCTGGAAGGTGCAGACACAAACACATTAATCAGACAGAATGAGAGAGGGAGAGTGCGGTGGAGGAGGGGGTGAGAAATTAAGGGGGGGGGGGGATGAAGAGAGAGACAGGGAGGAATGTGTACCTGAAGATGAGATGCTGTTGCTGTCCTGGAGACTCTGGAAGGAAAGAGAGGAAGAGATTACCTCTCCACAACTAGACAGACAATCCTCCTCCTACACACACACACTGACATGACTAACCTGTGTGTTTGGGCTCCTGGTTCTGGGTGTAGGTGTGTGACGATTTTGACTCCTGTAACTGAGATGTTTAAAACTACATACATTAAAACTGTACATACAAGTACTTATTCAACCATACACGCACTTCTTTAAGCACTAAGGGTATGTTTATACAGTCATTCTAAGAACACCATTCAGATTTTTTTTCTCCATATCTGATCTTTTTGTCTGAATGTCCACACTCAGTTCTACATGTGAACCATATCAGATTTGCACATTCACACTGATGTAGCCTCTCAAATAGCACAGACGCAATGCTCCTGTTTCTTACATTTTGGATGGTTGTCATGGTAACAAATGTGGTAAGACTCAGAACTCAAAAGATCAGATTCTGTGTGCTTTTTGCTGTTTACACATTGGGCAAAAGATCAGATATGTATCAGATATTTCAATACATCGGATTGGGGTGGCTGTGTAAAAACACACACAAACAAATATAACAGCACAATCCAACCCCTCTTTATTATACATTTTAGTCATTTAGCAGACGCTCTTATCCAGAGCGACTTACAGTTAGTGAGTGCATACATTTTTCATACTGGCCCCCCATGGGAATCGAACCCACAACCCTGGCGTTGCAAACGCCATGCTCTACCAACTGCCTTTACCTTCTCGTGTCATCCTCCTCTTTCTTGTCATCTATCTGAGAAGTTGGGTCTTTGTTAGTGGGAGGAGCATCTTCTGTCTGCCCGTTAAACACCCCACTCAGAGGCAAATCTGTCAATCAATAAATCAATTAATTAATCAATCAATCTATACCAATGTCCTGCTTCTTGGCTATTATTGGTATGTGTGTGTAGTCTGACCTGATCTTGGCTTCCTGCGTCGTATAGAGGCCTGTACGATGTCAACGCCATCCTTCGTGCCTCGGTGGCATTTGCTTCTCTCCTCATTAAACCACGCGCCCGACAGTGACCTCAAACGCACCGGGTCCGCCTCTTTCTGCTGCAGGGCCCTGAGGTTTAAACATCATGTTCACTATATTTAAGCAATAAGGCCCAAGGGGGTATGGTATATGGCCAATATACCACGGCTAAGGGCTGTTCTTACGCACAATGCAACGCGGAGTGCCTGGATACAGCCCTTAGCCATGGTATATTGGTCATATACCACAAACCCATGAGGTGCCTTATTGCTATTATAAACTGGTTACCAACGTAATTAGAGCAGTAAAAATAAATGTCATACCCGTGGCATACGGTCTGATATACCACGGCTGTCAGCCCATCAGCATTCAGGGCTCGAACCACCCAGTTTATAATATCATTTATATTACCACTTATTAATGAGGGTTACTTGCAATGACAGTCATGTGATTGTTTTCACAACTAAACTTAGTTGAATGCACTGACTGAAAGTCAGTTTAGAAAAATCGGTCTGATAAATTACTAAAATGTCAAATAAAACAATGTAATGTTTTAGTTATATGAATCAGGTGTGTAAGTGCAGGGGGGAAAAAACCAACTTGCACCCACACCGGCCCTCTGTGGATAACATTAACAGCCCCTGGGTTTGACAGCCCTCTATATTTGGAAAAACTTCAATCAATCAGTCAACTTGATGCCCATATGGGACCTAAAGGGTTAAATAATAATCACCTCTGACCTTAAACGACCTTCATCACGGGAACGCAGCTCAGAGTCCCTTAGCAACACTTCCAATATGGAAGCCTGCTCTGCCTCTGACAGGTGACTTAGGTCCAACAACTCCCCTTCTCCCTCCATCACCCTGAGAGAGAGAGAGATGACATTGTAAAGTACAGTAGTACTAGTATGACAGACTGCCTGACACAGGGATCGGTTTACTTAGTTTATCAGTTGCTACTTCCTCCTAAAATGAGGCTATTGTATAATCTCTATAGTGTGTGTGTGTATGGTCTGACCACATGTAAACGGTGGTCTCACCTGTGCAGTTTGTGCATGCGCTCAGACCTTCCGTGTGTTTTTAAAGTTTGTTTTGCAATCAGGATACAAAGCGCAACATCCGCGGCGCGCGAGCTTTCCCCACTACAACAGTTCCCCAACAGCCTGTTTTAACTTGTTAGTGAAAAGTCTGTTAGGCACCTGTGACCTCGGTACACACCTTCTAAAAGCAAACATGCACAATACACATAACACACACAGTGCGAGAGAAGGCGCACCTGTCCCAACTTGCTCATAAACTGGAATGAAACTGTTAAAGTTTTCAAACACGCTGGGGGAAAAAGACAAATAACAGTTCATACCTACGTCAATGATGTCCAGTATTGGTGGATATTTTCTCCGGGAGAAGTTTTGGTGTCTGAAAAGTCCAAGCGGAGTGGTGGAACTTGGTGAGGTTGACGAGACACGGTAGACTGCTGTGTAAACGCGAATACGCCTTCTTTTCCAGGCAGGATGCAAAACACGAAATGGAGCACAAAATAAATAGCATTCGAGAAAGGTGTAGGCTATTAGAGTTTTATACGAAGTTTACAACATATAATGGGATGTTGTAAACACGTAGCCTACGCATATGTTTACGCGCCTCTTGCTCTTTATTTTCTAGGACGATTCAGCATAGCCTTAATAATAATCAATAATCGGTTCGGACAGGAGCAGTGTGTGTGGGCCGGTTCATTAGCTTAGTTGCATTTGCATTAGAAAAACACAGTGTCTCAACATGTGGTGGTCACAACAGCCCAGAACTCCATTCATAATATTTGAATAAACATAGTAAAAGTTTCATTATTTGCAGAAAGCAAGAGGGAAATTGAAGAGGGTGGTAGAGAGAAAGCTGATGTGGCTTGCTGTGTGTATATTTTGTGGTCCATCATAATAAGTATTATCAGACAGTATCATGCTGTGTTTGATAAAAAGGTGTGTGTGTGTGTCTGTATGTGTGTGTGAAAGAGAGAGAGAGAAAGAGTTGTATTTGATAGAGGTTAGAACATTTCCTTCACGGATATCTGGCCATATGGCTAGGTGGGGTACTTTACAGTAGCTGCCCACACCTTTTAAACACACATAGGTAAGCCTACACAGTCTAAAGCACACACATACACAGAGAGAAATTGATACACTTACACAGTCTCACACAAACACAGCTACACTAGCACAGAACAGCGTGTACTGACAGTCTGTGTGGTTAAAAGAGAGAGAGAGTGTGTGAGTGTGTTTCAGAATGAGAGGGAGAGAGACTGTGTGTGTGTGTGTGTGTGTGTGTGTATGTGTCTGTGAGTGGGTAACTCCAGCACTAAGCCTTTTGTCAGTGTGTGTGTGTGTGTTTTTGAGAGAGAGAGAGAGAGAGAGAGTCCAGCATTCAGTCCTTTGTCAGTAGAACTGGAGGACAGCCAGTTTGTTTGTGGGATTTCAGTTCACTGAGTTGGGAGGTTTTATAACCAATCAGTCCAGAAATTACGTTCTGGCTGAATAACCCCAAACAGTCCCAACCAGCCATCTAAACAGCCAACCAGCCAACCAGCCAACCAACCAGCCAATCAGCCAGCCAACCAACCAACCACCTACTGGCCAACTAACCAGCCAACCATCCAGCCAGCCAACCAACCAGCCAACCTACCAGCCAACCAACCAATAGCACCAGGACATTATGTCCAACTGAACCTGGCTACTGGTCCACAATCCATGCTCTGTTCCCTCTACGATCCTAATAAAATACCAAATACCAAATACCAAATCCTCATGTCGAGGAACCCATAGTCACCCAGCTCTACTAGCCTCATGTTGAGGAACCCATAGTCTCCCAGCTCTACTAGCCTCATGTCGAGGAACCCATAGTCACCCAGCTCTACTAGCCTCATGTCGAGGAACCCATAGTCACCCAGCTCTACTAGCCTCATGTTGAGGAACCCATAGTGACCCAGCTCTACTAGCCTCATGTTGAGGAACCCAGACACACCCAGCTTTACTAGCCTCATGTTGAGGAACCCAGACACACCCAGCTCTACTAGCCTCATGTTGAGGAACCCATACACACCCAGCTCTACTAGCCTCATGTTGAGGAACCCATAGTCACCCAGCTCTACTAGCCTCATGTTGAGGAACCCAGACACACCCAGCTCTACTAGCCTCATGTTGAGGAACCCATAGTCACCCAGCTCTACTAGCCTCATGTTGAGGAACCCATAGTCACCCAGCTCTACTAGCCTCATGTTGAGGAACCCAGACACACCCCAGCTCTACTAGCCTCATGTTGAGGAACCCATAGTCACCCAGCTCTACTAGCCTCATGTTGAGGAACCCATAGTCACCCAGCTCTACTAGCCTCATGTTGAGGAACCCAGACACACCCAGCTCTACTAGCCTCATGTTGAGGAACCCAGACACACCCAGCTCTACTAGCCTCATGTTGAGGAACCCATAGTCACCCAGCTCTACTAGCCTCATGTTGAGGAACCCAGACACACCCAGCTCTACTAGCCTCATGTTGAGGAACCCATAGTCACCCAGCTCTACTAGCCTCATGTTGAGGAACCCAGACACACCCAGCTCTACTAGCCTCATGTTGAGGAACCCATAGTCTCCCAGCTCTACTAGCCTCATGTTGAGGAACCCATACTCACCCAGCTCTACTAGCCTCATGTTGAGGAACCCAGACACACCCAGCTCTACTAGCCTCATGTTGAGGAACCCAGACACACCCAGCTCTACTAGCCTCATGTTGAGGAACCCAGACACACCCAGCTCTACTAGCCTCATGTTGAGGAACCCATAGTCACCCAGCTCTACTAGCCTCATGTTGAGGAACCCAGACACACCCAGCTCTACTAGCCTCATGTCGAGGAACCCATAGTCACCCAGCACAATGTTACTTCATATCCTTATCATCACATCTAAATACACAATCCTTTTTAACTCACTCTCTCCCTGTTTATTTCTCTCTCTCTCACACACACACACTCACATAAACACTTATTATTTAGCATTATCTTTATTTTCATAAACACAAAAACACAGAACAGATCCCAGATCCCTCCCTCCTGAATGCAGCTCAAGCCAAACCAGTTCAACAACACTAATTAACGAACATGTTTAAACACGATTCAAAATCATTACACATTCACATAACTACAACCCTCTAAGACATTACTATTTGACAAATGTAAATTCAGAAGGCATTTAGGCCAACTGACAGGAAAAAGGGAATACACACACACAAACAGGAGTTACACAACATAATGGACAGTCAGTCAAACACACAAAATGACCGACAGGTTCACATCTGGGACACAAAAATAAGTATAACACACACACTGTATGTGAGATTGACGTCATACAAAGCATGGTGACAGCATTGTGAGTCACAGCTCCCCCCTCATCCCTCCCTCGTTCATCTTCCACTGTCCTCCTCTTCTCTCTCTCCTCTCCTCTAGGCTGGCTGCTCTCTGTGGAGGGGAGAAAGAGAGAGAGAGAGAGAGAGAGAGAGAGAGAGAGAGAGAGAGAGAGAGAGAGAGAGAGAGAGGGAGATTATTGTTCAGCCTATTATATATTACTTCAGCTCTCTAGATGTCACTATGGTGCAAACACACACACTCTCTCCTCCCCCCCCCCCCCCCCCCCCCCCCCCCCTTCCCCCCTCACTCACATGGGGTCGTAGGTGGCATCTTTCTTGAGGAAGCGCATAGTGAAGAATCCCCCAGCCTGGACACACAGCACCAGGATGATGCCTCCTATGAAACTGGACAGGTCAAAGCTGGCCTGGGAGAACTCTGACGGCTCTGGAGGAGACTTATCTGACAGGGGGAGATATATGGGAAGAGAAAAGGGGGGGAGGGATGAGTAATAATAGAGAGATCAATAAGGGATGGATGGAGTGAAGGAATGGTGAGGTCAAACTCACCTGAGTCCCCTTCACCTTCTGCCGCAATCTCTATGACTGAAAACACATAAAGAAATGTAATCAATGTTATTGTTATCTAACAGTTTTTACTCACATTGTCTATTTTATGGAATGTGTGTGTGTGTGTGTGTGTGTGTGTGTGTGTGTGTGTGTGTGTGTGTGTGTGTGTGTGTGTGTGTGTGTGTGCCTGTGCGTGTGTGTGTTACTCACCTGTGCACATGGCTGGGTCATTTGTTACATTACAGTTCTGAGAATCATCCTGATCAGATACACACCCAGTATCATTACCTACGAGAGAGAGGAGGAAAGGGGTGTGTGTGAGTGTGTGTGTGAGTGTGTGTGTGTGTGTGTGTGTACGCGTGCACGCGTGCGTGTGCGTAGGTCAGATCCTGACACACTGAATAATTGAATCATCTGGTAAAGATCTGGAGGGTTGTCTTACCTACAGCAAGGGATCCAATTTCTATTAAATGTGTGTGTGTGTTTGTGTGTGTGTGTGTGTGTCTCACTGTTCCCGCAGACACTCCAGACACAGCCAGTCAGGTTGAGGGTGGAGTCTCCAACACACAGGTCACATGACTCAGCCTGGGAGCAGTCTATTGGAGGCGACAGTTGTCAATCAATCTACTAGGGTAGACTAACACACACGCTCAGGGAGGATCTCTGCTTTCAAGATCAAACCTCATAACAGGAATCAAGGCATCATTCAAGATTACTTGAACTTTTGTCACAAAATCTTTAGTCCAAAATAATTTACTCATCCAACAAACACAACCAATAGTAGATGGGGCGAGGAACACAGAAAAAGACAAAATGGCAAAAAAATTGCTATACCCTAGGGATTGATTTAAACCCCAGGGATGATTTGAACCCTAGGCATTGAGCTAAACCCTAGGCATTGAGCTAAACCCTAGGCATTTAGGGGGTCTGAGCATTGTTCGCCAAACTACCTATGTTTCATTTGCTTACACATATCCTGTCATTTCAGATTAGATGTCATGAAGAATAGGGACAAGGGAAGGAGTCAAGGGAAGGAGGAAACAATACTATAAATGGAAGTGGGGCCAAGAAGAACAGAGGGGTCAAAGTTGAGAGTCAGGAAGTTAAAATGATAGACCACACACACACACACACACACAAACACTCACACACACACACCTACCTGAAGAGTCCGACTTACAGTGAGAGGTGCTCACCACTGCGAGGACCAGCAACGCTGCACCGAGGGCCTTTAGCTCTAACCCTCGCATCCTGGCCACTACAGACCAGTTCAGACCAGTACAGACCAGCAAAGACCAGTACAGACAGGTAGAGACCACAGACTAGTCAGAGAAAAGCAAAAAATAGCTTCAGTTCCTCGGGTGGCTCCTAGATGTCCACAGGGATCATAAGGTTCCAAGGTTCTAGAAGGTTCCAAAAGGTTCCAGAATGTTTCAGAACATTCCAAATGTAAGATTAAGTACTTTTCAGTTGGTTGTAGATTGCTTCCCTTGCAGAGGCCTCAAACTCAACAAAAAATAAATGGGTTTCTAGCTTTAGAAAATATTAAATGAAGAGGAGAGGAGTCATCTGCATTTGGGAAAGAGAGAGACAGGAACCGGTGTAACTCAACCCTAGTCTACTTGGTTACCAAGCCACCCCCCTCCCCTTCTCCACCACCCTGAAACACACACCACGGAGACAGATTGACACCTGTTTACCTCAGAGCCCTGGGACACACACACACACACAAAAGCATGCACGCAAGCACGCACACATGCACACAAACACAAACACACACTCATATGCCCGCACACACACACACAGGCGTGTGCACCCACACACGCTGATTATCATTCCGACACAGATACTACAGGTACTGTATAGACGTGTATTTTGTCAAATGCGTATTTATGTGGTGTATATATGCAATGTATTGTTAATTCCTGTCTATACATTGATTTTCTAATTGTATAATTAACATATTGATTGACACACGCACATTGCAATGAATAATGCTTTAAGTCAATAAACACTTGTCACCTTCACCTCATACAAACCCATGCCTTCTCCATCACATACACTCCTCCCACACACATTTCCCCCCACACACACAACCCAACCTCTTCTCCTCCTCTCCTCTCCTCTCCTTTCTCCTCCTCTCCATCCTCTCCCTCCTCTCACACATCGATTTGTACTGCAGTGTCAATGAGGTGTGTGTGTGTGTGTGTGTGTGTGTGTGTGTGTGTGTGTGTGTGTGTGTGTGTGTGTGTGTGTGTGTGTGTGTGTGTGTGTGTGTGTGTGTGTGTAGGTGGAGAGGCAGTATGTGTACGTGTTAGATAACCGAGGAATTTCCGCAGTCACGAGAGCACGAGCTTGAGCTTCCCGTTAACAGCACCTGAGGGCAGTCAGACGGTAAGGAACAGATCTAACCGGTTGTCTCCTCTCCATCTTCCCGTTAAATACCGTAAACACACAGTTATCTTCTTCTGCCTAAAAGCCCATTTAGGTGTTCAAAGGTAGCGTAACAAAGGGGGTTCGGTGAACAACACGTACTTGATTAGGAGGTTATTCTTGCCTGAAACCTGAATACTTGCATTAGCTCCTCTGGTTGCTGCCTAGGCTTTAGCTCAGTCAGTTACTGTGGTGCAACACTCCATCCAATTGCAGTGACATCTAGAGGGCTGAAGTACACTGAACAAAAATATAAACGCAACATGTAAAGTGTTGGTCCCATGTTTTATGAGCTGAAATAAAAGAGCTGTTGCCAGAGAATTTAATGTTAATTTCTTTATCATAAGCCACTTCCAACATTGTTTTAGAGAATTTGGCAGTACATCCAATCGGCCTCACAACCACAGACCACGTGTAACCAGGCCAGCCCTGGACCTCCAACTCCGGCTTCTTCACCTGCGGGGTCGTCTGAGACCAGCCACCCGGACAGTTGATGAAACTGTAGGTTTGCACAACCGAATAATTTCTGCACAAACTGTCAGAAACCGTCTCAGAGAAGCTAATCTGCGTGCTCGTCGTCCTCACCAGGGTCTTGACCTGACTGCAGTTCGGGATCGTAACTGACTTCAGTGGGAAAATGCTCACCTTCGATGGCTACTGGCACACTGGAGAAGTGTGCTCTTCACGGATTAACCCCGTTTTCAACTGTACCGGGTAGATGGTACACAGGGTGTGTGGTGTCATGTTGGCGAGCGATTTGCCGATGTCCACGTTGTGAACAGAGTGCCCCATGGTGGAGTTGGGGTTATGGTATGGGCAGGCATAAGCTACGGACAACGAACACAATTACATTTTATTGATGGCAATTTCAATGCACAGAGATACCTTGCCGAGATCCTGAGGCCCATTGTCGTGCCATTCATCCGCCTCCATCACCTCATGTTTCAGCATGATAATGCACAGCCCCATGTCGCAAGGATTTGAACACAATTCCTGAAAGCTGAAAATGTCCCAGTTCTTCCATGGCCTGCATACTCACCAGATATGTCACCCATTGAGTATGTTTGGAATGCTCTGGATCGACACGTACGACAGTGTGTTCGAGTTCCCGCCAATATCCAGCAACTTCGAGCAGCCTTTGAAGAGGAGTGGGACAAAATTCCACAGGCCACAATCAACAGCCTGAGCAACACTATGCGAAGGAGATGTGTCATGCTGCATGACTGGTTTTCTGATCCAGGCCCCTACCTTTTTTTTAAGGTATCTGTGACCAACAGATGCATATCTGTATTCATAGTCATGTGAAATCCATAGATTAGGGCCTAATGAATTTATTTCAATTGACTCATTTCCTTATATGAACTGTAACTCAGTAAAATCTTTGAAATGACTGCATGTTGCGATTATATTTTTGTTCACTGTAATATAATAGGCTGGACTATAATATCTCCCTCTCCCTCTTCTCCCTCTCTCAGTTTTTCCCTCTAATGTGTAAATGACGTAATGCTATACATTTTATTTTCTCCCAAAGAGAACCGGAAGTCAGTTTCCTTACATGGTTCTATGTCAACGACAAAACGAGGGTCCCCCTCTCTGCGCAGTGCCGTGGCCCGTGCGTAATCACGCAGACACATTGCAGCAACCACTGCAGCCCACGCACGCTGTTTTTTATTACCGGGGAAACCGACAATCCCAGTTGCCAGGTAACTCATCCATGACCGGGTTTCCCAGATATATCTATCAATCATCTCTCATCTGATAGCCTACATCATTAACCAATCAACATTAATCAGCTGTTCATGATTCAAAATAGATAGTAAGCCTATACATTATTAATTTCGTGCCTTTCAAAACACCCAAGGACATGTAGGCCTAGAGAGATAGATATATAGCCTACGCACTTTTTCTCAAATCGAGACCTTCCGACTATAAGGTTCTATCTGACATTTTGGCCAATTGATAGTCATATTTAATTGATCTTTAGATGGTTCTTCATATGTCTGTGAAGATAGATATTTGAAAAAATACATTTTAAGTGAAAAAATGAAAAACTAGAAAGTTGATGTTGATGTTGTCACGTCATTGTTCAGTGATGACAGTAATTCTTCTGATGATCATAATACATTTCTTAATGTGCTCTGACTCTATCTTGGTAAAATAGTGTTATTCTATCATTTATGTATTCAAATAGCTACAGTTGTCTTAATGTCTAATTCAGATGTGTCAGATAAACCTTATGGCTGAACCCAGACTGACATTTCGGAGCCAGGTTCTATCTGCGATTGCAACCCTCCTAAAAAAACGGATTACAAATGTCACAATATTTTGATACTCTACACTTGAGGTACCTTTAAGAAAAAACAAATCACTACAAAACAGTTTTGAGTTCTGGGATGTGAAAACTCTGATGCTCAGTATCTCAGAACCATGCTTTGCGCATATAGAATCTTATAGTCCCAAGGTCACGAAATGATAATGTATGATTCATCCGAGACAAACGGTGCTTAGCCAGTGACTCACCTTAGGACACTGCATGCAGGCTATTCATGCACTTAGATCCCATTTTGCTCTTGCTTATTGAATGACGTACACGTTTCAACGGTTAACTTTTCTAATTCTTCAGAGACAACTACACATATGACCTCAAATGCATTTTTATAGTCTTACTCAATACCGCCAAAAAACAATCACAACAATCGATTATGCAAGCAAGTTCTAGCATACAACTGCGTTTCAGCACCTTGGACAGCTCCTCAAGGTGCGAGCCCCCGCTACGCCCTCTTCTCGCTCTCAACCATTTACACTTATCGGAATCACTACTGCCCTGTGTGTGCGTGTGTGTGTGTGTGCGTGCGTGCGTGCGTATGTTTAGGAAGCGCCTTTCGGACATTATTTAAGGAAAAGCTGCACGCGAGGCAAGCCGCAGTGGGAGGGGCGGGAAGCTGCCGCATTTTTCTGAATGAAATTACTCTACAGGAGCCTCCCATCCCACCCCCACACCCCCAACTCTCCGAGCACCTCATTGGCTAAAGCCCGCCACCACTGACGTCAGTCAGACCTTCCCTAGTGAAGGAACCTGCGCGCAGGAGAGCCATCCAGTCATTCTGGCGTTCACCACCAGAGAAACGGAGAGAACCTAATCGTAAGGAGGATATGTTATTACTCTGATGGAGACAGACAAACCTTACTGAGATATTACCGACCGTTGATATACCAGAGACAACCTGGACACAGACAGCATCACCGCATCACAGTCTCCTGTCTCCTGGATTCTCTGTCAACAGAGCTGATTTGGAAGAATCGTAATCAAGGTCTTGTTAGAAGGTAAGATCTTCTGTAGCATAAGTCTGTATGTCTGTCTGTGTGTGGGGGCGGTGAGATCTTCTGTAGCATAAGTCTGTATGTCTGTCTGTGCGTGGGGGCGGTGTATGTCATGTGTATGTAAACCTCAAATGATATCAGCGATAAAGCACTAGGACATGGTTTTCCAAGCTAGTGGACATCTGTTACACAACACTCCACACAGCACTATAGGAGAAGAGTGGAGAGGAGACACCAGAAGGGCTGCATTCCAATTCTCCCTGGAGTGTGTACTCGTTCACTCCCCCTTGTGTATTTTAAAGCATTGGGTAGACATACATATAGGCTAGACAGGGCGTCTTCACCATATGTCTCTTACATTGCTTGAGAGGAGTGAACAAGTGCACACTTCAGGGAGAGAAGAGTAGAGATCAGGCAATGGAATGGTCCCATAATAATGTGAGGAGCATGCGGAGTCTCTCGTTTGAGATGGACCAGTAACACTGTGGTACAAGTGTACTACCTACTGTGCCATAAAGGCCCGGACCTTTTGGCAGATAACGAAGTGGCCTAAGACCCAAGAGAGGAAGCCACTGTAGACTATTGAGATGCAGGAGACAAGGAGAGGAAGCCACTATAGACTATTGAGATGCAGGACAGGAGGCAAAGAGAGAAAGCCACTGTAGACTATTGAGATGCAGGACAGGAGACGAGGAGAGGAAGCTACTGTAGACTATTTGAGATGCAGGACAGGAGACGAGGAAAGGATGCTACTGTAGACTTTTTGAGATGCAGGACAGGAGAGGAGGAGAGGAAGCTACTGTAGACTATTTGAGATGCAGGACAGGAGAGGAGGAGAGGAAGCTACTGTAGACTAGATGCAGCCCCAGTGCAGGGTGTCTG